CCTGGCTGGGGAAAGCCCAGACCTGTCATGTTTTTGACAGGCCTGAGGCTTGCTGGTTGCAGTGGAGTTGTGAGGCTTCAGGTGAGCTCAACGTAGCTGCCTGGGATGCCAGCTTTTGGTTTGAAAAACCCTTTGTCAGGCTGAGGAAGCACCTGCAATTGGTGTGTGTACTGTTCCTAGATGGAAGGAATAGTAAAGAAGCCGGGGGCTGGCATGCAATGCAGGCAAGAAAGCCAGTCAGTGAAAATGGAAATAGAGGCATCAGGGGGGTGAGGGATAGGCTGGGTGGGGGTGGGGAAGTTACCATCCCTGCTGTTTTCATTCAGATCAGGCAAGAAATGACAAAGTTATAGGCAGTTTCATGATTCCTCATTATAGCCTACGGGCAAAATGTCAAAACGTGTCGAAACAGCAAAACAGTTTTAACAAAACGAAATGGAACAGTGCTTCGGAATGAAACGTCAAAACGAAACACTGTCCTTTTGAAACGGCGAAACGGAAGTCAAAATGAAACGGTGCTGTTTTGCACAGCCCTACTAAAAGTCAAACACCTACTATAACGTATTTTAATTTTATTACCAAAAGTATTTTTGTCGTGAATTGTGTCTGCATACTGCATGTAGAGGTGATTGCATAATAACTCAAAAATAAAGTCTTATTCTTGTATATTGTGTGAGGGATGTGGTTTGGGGTAGGTGTGTGTGTGTATGGTCTGGTGTGGGGGAGGTTTGTGAGGGGGTGTGGCTTTGTGGTGGGGGGCAATAGGATATGTTGGAGGGGTGTATATGTGAGGGGGTTGTGCGGGATGGTGTGGGTATGCAGCATTTGTGGGGTGTCAGGGAGGCTGGGAGAGTGTGGGGACCCCCCATACACTCCCTCTTGCCCTCCATGGCACACAGCTGAACCCCCCGTACACTCCCTCTTGCCCTCCATGGCACACAGCCCCTGCCGCTGGCAGCAGCTGGTAGCAGGTGCTTGGGGTGCTCATGCCCCATGCAGGCACTGCCATCTGGCAAC